TTCTTCAAGGAAAGAAGGAGAAGACAATTAGAGCAAAACTCTGCAACTCAAGCAAGGAGCCAACAGAGAAGAGCAACAAGCATAAGGACACCAACTCCGGACCAAAGGAGCAACCTGAAGGAGGAACCACCCAACTCAACCAGAAAGGACACACAGCCATCTTCTTCCTTTGTTTTCCTCCACGAGGCCTGAACCATCAAGAAAACACAACAGACTTTGATCATAGACTGAGTACAACATCCTTTATCGTTCAGGATCTCGAGGTCTTTACTTCTTGCCTTTCATTCTATTTCCTACCGTTTCATGATGCTTCTCATTATGTTTGTAAATATTTTGATTAGTGTTATTAAATGTTGATTGTATAAAGAACTTGTGCTGTTCTTGTTATTCTGGGAAAGAATTCCAATTGATTCTCAAAGAATTCATACCTTCAGATTAATAAATGTATTACTATTATTCTAATTGTAGTGTTATTATAGAGTTATTACTAAAATAAATCATAAGTCAGGTCTTCTTAGAAGGCCATTTTGTCCAATAACTGGACTGGTGCCCGTTAATAATTTCATAGTAATAAGTGTACACACTACCTTACACCTGGTTAAGACTTTACATTAAGTTGCTCTTATTGTTGTGTAGTAACTCTGTAATTACAGTACATGGTAATGTTGTGATTGCATAGTAATGGATTAGTTGAGCGAGTTCAGGGGAAAAACAAAGAATAACAACTATCAAAAATAAAGGCTGTCCTTTTGATGGATCGTACTCTGGCCAAAGTGAGAAGCCCAGCACCGCTAACGAGAGACCAATGTCAAATATATAGAGTTGATGTATAATTTATGAGTTCATCAGTGAAAACAAAGCCCAGGCAACACAGTAGGGCTTCAGTAATCAGTTTGGAGTTGTATGTGATGGAGCAGCACCACAAAGCGCAGTGACCTACTACAATGGCATCAATAACAACAAAGCTTACTGCAGCAGACCGGCTGACAAAACGCCTCTCAAGCCAAAGGACATCACACTAAGTGAAAAAATTGCTTTTCTTTAGAAAACAAGGACATTTCTAAGTGACCCCAAACTTTTGAACAGTAGTGTATGGTTACCTATTACGGAAGGTAATGATTTCTACTTTCTGCAAGCACGTTCGTATCGTTGATGTGACGGTGGACAATGGATGCTCGTTTGAGTTGGTACAGTAACACAACAAGATCTAGGGCATGGACATTTTCAACTCACACACATTCACAGTCCATATGATATGTCTGATGTCCATAAGATGATATGATATGTCAAACCCGTGATACAAAGAATGGTGTGGGAATTAGGTCAGGGTCTCCACTTAACGGCCTCCACCAAAGCTCCGTGTGAGAGGTCCAAGCCCTGTCAAACACCCATACAAAGGTCCGTATGTCATCAGGTGTCGGCCCCACCCCTCCAATCATCTCCTACTCTTTTTTTCTGGTGACCCTTCACAGAAAACAAAAGGGCTGACCCAGACCCCATTCACACAATCATGTCAAGACATCGCCTTAGGAGTCAAGGGTTGTCTCGGGTCACAGCACAGTGTTGTGATAGAGGTCAGAGATGAATACGGCCAACCGCTGGTCCCATTCCCATGACATCATCAGGGTTCCAAACTTTTCTTCAATTCGCCCATCATCTCTTCTCCGTTTGTTGGGTTCGGTTAATGAATCAATGAGAGACTGACTCAATGGATTGATTGAATAGACAACTCACCGAAGTTGAAAAGCCATGGTTTTTGTTTGGAACTAATACAGTGCTGTATCGTTTCTGTGGAGATTGTTGGGTTAGAATATGGCATTGTATTGCAGTACATTGCATTGTATAAGTGATTATAGTGTTAAGCTTAGCAGTAAACGTAATTTATTTTCACCAAAGAAAACAAGTGAAAAACAGTACAGATAAAAGGCCAAAACGGTGTGCAGGTGGAAGCCCAAATGGGCATATATAGAAACCACACCCCAAAAAAACAATATACAAATATAAAAAAAGTTGGTTAAATCTGTTAAACAAGCACATTAATTAAAAGGTTTACATGATATACACAGTACACAAGATAAAAACGTGTGATTATGTGAGGTGTTGCAATGGGGAGGGTGAAGGTTATCGCTGTGTCTTGTGTTGTATGCATGGATTTGGGAATTAACTTGGAAGAATCCATTGAAGGGTTTAGGTAGGCTTTCTGGGAGATATGTGTATTTGTAGATGAAGGTGCATAATAGGAGTATATTAATATTGTAGATAGACAATATCCTGAGTTTCTTTAACAGAGGGGCAGACGGAGCCAAGTAGTTAGAAGAGGTGGCTAATCTTGTAAATGTATTTTGTGTGATGATATATATAGGAGGGTGGCACCTTAATTGGGGAGGACGGGCTCATGGTAATAATGTCTGTGTTTGATGCCATTCCATTTGCTCTGTTCCGGCCATTATTATTAGCCATTCTCCCCTCAGCAGCCTCCTGTGATATATATATATATATATATATATTATCAGTGGAGGCTGCTGAGGGGAGAACGGCTCATAATAATGGCTGGAACAAAGCAAATGGAATGGCATCAAACACATGGAAACCATATGTTTGATGTATTTGATACCATTCCACTTATTCTGCTCCAGCCATTACCATGAGCCTGTCCTCCCCAATTAAGGTGCCACCAATCTCATGTGATATATATATATATAACACTATATTTACAAAAGTATGTGGACACCCCTTCAAATGATTGGATTCGGCTATTGAAGCCTCACCCGTTGCTGACAGGTGTATAAAATCGAGCACACCGCCATGCAATCTCCATAGACAAACATTGGCAATAGAATGGCCTTACTGAAGAGCTTAGTGACTTTCAACATGGCACCGTCATAGGAGCCCACCTTTCCAATAAGTCAGTTTGTCAAATTTCTGCCCTGCTAGAGCTGCCCCGATCAACTGTAAGTGCTGTTATTGTGAAGTGGAAACGTCTAGGAGCAACAACGGCTCAGCCGTAAAGTGGTAGGCCACACAAGCTCACAGAACGGGACCACTGAGTGCTGAAAAATCATCTCTCCTCTGTTGCAACACTAACTACCGAGTTCCAAACTGCCTCTGGAAGCAACGTCAGCACAAGAACTGTTCGTCGGGAGCTTCATGAAATGGGTTTTCATGGCCGAGCAGCAGCACACAAACCTAAGATCACCATGCGCAATGCCAAGCGTCGGCTGGAGTGGTGTAAAGCTCGCCACCATTGGACTCTGGAGCAGTGGAAACACGTTCTCTGGAGTGATGAATCACGCTTTACCATCTGGCAGTCAGACGGACTAATCTGGGTTTGGCGGATGCCAGGAGAATGCTACCTGCCCCAATGCATAGTGCCAACTGTAAAATTTGGTGGAGGAGGTATAATGGTCTGGGGATGTTTTTCATGGTTCGGGCTAGGCCCTTTTGTTCCAGTGATGGGAAATCTTAACGCTACAGCATACAATGACATTCTAGACAATTATGTGCTTCCAACTTTGTGGCAACAGTTTGGGGAAGGCCCTTTCCTGTTTCAGCATGACAATGCCCCCGTGCACAAAGCGAGGTCCATACAGAAAGGGTTTGTCGAGATCGGTGTGGAAGAACTTGACTGACCTGCACAGAGTCCTGACCTCAACCCTGTCGAACACCTTTGGGATGAATTGGAACGCCGACTGCGAGCCAGGCCTAATCGCCCAACATCAGTGCCCGACCTCACTAATGCTCTTGTGGCTGAATGGAAGCAAGTCCCCGCACCAATTTTCGCCTGGTCTACAGTTTGAAACAATGGCATACATAACAGTATTGTCTGCATACAGATGAATATTACATGTTTTAACAGTTAGGCCATTATTATTTATATAAATAGCAAAGAGAACACGTCCCAATATTGACCCCTTTGGTACACCTTTCATAATATCCAGGAACCTAGACTTAACACCATCAGAAATCACACATTGTGTCCTGTCTGACAGATCATTATCAAACCACTTGCAAGAAGCCTGATCCAGGCCTATTTCAGTCAACATTTGAACGAGAGTGTGGTGGTCAACAGTGTCAAAGGCATTGGGAAGGTATATAATAAACAAGGCAGCACAATGATTTTTATGATCTAAGTAATTTAACATATAATCTAAAACAAGTGTAGCAGCTGAAACGGTGCCATGTTGGTGCACATTAAGAAACCGTATTGGTGCACATTAAGAATAGAGTGAGAAGTTAAAAAAAGTTATTAGCTGACAGTTGGCCAGGGATTCTAAAACGTTGGAAAGGCAAGATAATTTGGAGATTTTACAGTAGTTATCTAAGTCAGAAGGATCTCCTCCTTTATGTAGGGGGAGGACATGTGCCACTTTCCAGATATTAGGTATAACACAAGAAACAATTGTCAAATTAAAGATATAGGTCAACGGTTCTGCAATAAGTGGGACACTTAGTACATCATAGGCATCAAATCGTTGAAATGAAAATAAAGTCTGAGTCTATTATTGCATCATTCTCTACAATCTGTTCCGAGGTGACAAGAGGACTCCCTCTAGTGGAATGAGATGAATTTTCAGAGACTATCCTTGGATGAACCGAGGAAGGGTGGGTAAAGGGAAGTAGAAAGAAGGAGCATGGGAGAGGGAGGAGGGGAGAGGGGGATAGAGCTCAGCGAGCAGAGAAAGAGAAGTGCAAATATAGTGACGCCAGAAGGAATTGTCACCTCATTTCACTCTGATGCAGCATTAATGCGTCTCTCTCTCTCGCTCTGCTTCTCCAGCAATGCTGTTTTCTCTTAATTCTTCCATAGAAAGTAGGCTACAATAAATGAGGTGTTTGTTGAATATCATTGCGTGTCGAAGATGTCTCAATTTGCATTTCATTTAATTTCACTCTACGCTGTTGGACGACAGAATTTTCCAAAGACTATTGCTGTGTGTTGCTACTGAAAGACTACATTTACAACAGACCAGTGATTTAATATTTTTGTAACACCATACACTATGAGTCTTAAGGTGAAACACCACAAAAATATAGGTGAAAAATAGGTGAGAACTCTCAAAGCATACTGTCTTGTGAAACAGTCTGTTTAGAATGCTGAGTACGATGACCTCCCATTCTTTTTTTCGACCATGAATGTGCTGATGTGTTGGTTCCCAAGCCATTATGATGTAACCAGGTTAGACAAAGATAAAAGGTCTGGATTTGGATAGTAATTTTTAAGATGCTATTTGATTAAATTTTTATGAGCTGGTATCCTGTCGTGCATACAGTGTGGTTAGTGTACTAAACATAAAGCATTCTGACATTCACAGCAGTGCTTTGTAAACATTATTACAGGACTAACGCCTGACGCTCTCCCTCTCTCTCACTCCCTCTCTCTCTCTCCGTCTCTCTCTCTCTCACTCTCTCTGCAGTAGCCCTGAAGAACTGTACTTGCAAGAGAGAGCTGGCCAATGGTGATAGCGATGACAACGGCAAAGCCACGGGATTGGCGGACAGTTGGCTGCCTGAAGGCGAACTCTTGCTGCAGGTCAGCGCTAAGGGCTTGTCATGGCCTAACTTCAGCTGACTGCACTGCCAGCTGAATCGCTGTGTGTGTGTGTGTGTGTGTGTGTGTGTGTGTGTGTGTGTGTGTGTGTGTGTGTGTGTGTGAGTGTGTCTGAAACGCTTTCATGTTTTTTCTTATAGCAGAAAATCAGTTTGGGCAGGGAGACAGAGACAGGGGCTCAGGGATAGCTTATCAGTCAATATGTCTGCTCCTGTCTCTGTCTGTCTGAGGTTCCCATATGAAATGTGTGAGTGCAACTTGGAGTCAGCTGAGTCGCCTAACCTTGTGGCTAAACATGTCCCTTTGGATATTTTTGCAAGATAGGCACCAAAGCACTCAAGACAATATCTCCTTTTCAAGAATAATAAACATCAAAATGTGGAATCTTCTAAAAAATAAGAAAAGATCTGACTGTCTCCTCTTTTGGGAACTACAAGGCTTAATATCCAGTGATGGAATGTTGGATAAACCTCATAACTCATTAGCCAGCACTTTGTCTTTAATACAACATGTAACAGGGCAGGTAGCCTAGGCAGTTAGAGTGTTGGGCCAGTAACCGAAAGGTCGCTGGCTCGAATCCCCGAGCCTACTAGGTGAAAATCTGTCGATGTGCCCTTGAGCAAGGCATTTAACCCTAGTCGCTCTGGATAAGAGTGTCTGCTAAATGACGGAGATGTACCTCTGCTTATTAATTCCCAAGGCTCCAGAATACACCATTACACTCTAATACGCTACACCCCAATTTGTAATTCTAGTATTCATTGTCATTTTATCTAGTTTACTATTCCATCTCTAGGGAGCTATTTTAATTTTGTTTCTCTGTATGTGTTATTGAGTGGAGAGTGGCTGCCAAATCTCTTTTGGATACACCAGAGTCATTGATTTTCCAGTCCAGTTCCCCTCTATGTGCAGCACAGTGGAATTCCAGAGCATAGCCCTATGAACGAAGTTTCATTATTATGATAAACCTACATCTCTCCAATGTGTTAGCAATGAAGCATGAAAGCTCATTCTGGGGAGGAGGAATTAGTGAGGATGGAATCTTTTATTCAAATTGAGATAACAGCCATGGGACATTTTAAAAGACTGGAAGACAGGGAGAAAAGGCGAGGTTAGGGGAAGAAGTGGAGAAGGGCAGAGGTGAAGAGGGCTATTTCTGACCAAGTCTGATTTTCTCTCTCCTCATTTTCTTCTCTGTAGTTCAATGTCAGACACTTGGTAGTGAATTATAGAGGAGCTGTGAGGTCATTCATTATTTACAGCAGGAGAGGGGGAGGAAAAGAGAGGCAAAGCAGATTAATTTAGTTTTCACCCTTCACTGTCATTGTTGAAAATAGACAGACTGAGGACAGCCTGTTTTCAACCTCTTATACTCAAAGCAGTCCCACAGAAGCCTAACACTACCGTCATGAGGGAAAGTAGTTCTGCAGAATGCCGACAGATATTGTAAGTGTTGATACGGTACAAGCATGCACAAATGGAGTCCCATTGGAGATGTGATCTCTGTTCTGCTCAACCAGGAGGTCTACAATCTAGCTTGCACACATTGTGGTTCTCTGGCAAAGAGTCAATACAGGACTAAGATTGAATCGTACTACACCGGCTCTGACGCTCGTCAGATGTGGCAGGGCTTGAAAACTATTACAGACTACAAAGGGAAGCACAGCCGCGAGCTGCCCAGTGACACAAGACTTCCAGACGAGCTAAACCACTTCTATGCTCGCTTCGAGGCAAGCAACACTGAAGCAAGCATGAGCGCACCAGCTGTTCTGGATGACTATGTAATCACGCTCTCCGTAGCTGATGTGAGTAAGACTTTTAAGCAGGTCAACATTCACAAGGCCGCAGGGCCAGACGGATTACCAGGACGTGTACTCTAAGCTTGTGCTGACCAACTGGCAAGTGTCTTCACTGACATTTTCAACATGTCCCTGACTGAGTCTGTAATACCAACATGTTTCAAGCAGACCACCATAGTCCCCGTGCCCAAGGACACTAAGATAACCTGCCTAATGCTGAATGCTATTCATTGACTACAGCTCAGCATTCAACACCATAGTGCCCTCTAAGCTCATCACTAAGCTAAGGATCCTGGGACTAAACACCTCCCTCTGAAACTGGATCCTGGACTTCCTGACGGGCCGCCCCCAGGTGGTAAGGGTAGGTAACAACACATCTGCCACACTGATCCTCAACACGGGGGCCCCTCAGTGGTGCGTGCTCAGTCTCCTCCTGTACTCTCTGTTCACCCATGACTGCATGGCCAGGCACGACTCCAACACCATCATTAAGTTTGCAGACGACACAACAATGGTAGGCCTGATCACCGACATGGATGAGACAGCCTATAGGGAGGAGGTCAGAGACCTGGCCGTGTGGTGCCAGGACAACAACCTCTCCCTCAACATGACCAAGACAAAGGAGATGATTGTGGACTACAGGAAAAAAAAGAGGACTGAGCACGCCCCCATTCTCATCGACGGGGCTGTAGTGGAACAGGTTGAGAGCTTCAAGTTCCTTGGTGTCCACATCACCAACGAACTATCATGGTCCAAACACACCAAGACAGTCGTGAAGAGGGCACGACAAAGCCTATTCCCCCTCAGGAGACTGAAAAGATTTGGCATGGGTCCTCAGATCCTCAGAAAATTCTACAGCTGCACCATCGAGAGCATCCTGACTGGTTGCATCACCGCCTGGTATGGCAACTGCTTGGCCTCCGACCGCAAGGCACTACAGAGGGTAGTGCGTACGGCCCAGTACATCACTGGGGCCAAGCTTCCTGCCATCCAGGACCTCTATACCAGGCGGTGTCAGAGGAAGGCCCTCAAAATTGTCAAAGACTCCAGCCACCCTAGTCATAGACTGTTCTCCCTGCTACCGCACGGCAAGCGGTACCGGAGTGCCAAGTCTAGGTCCAAAAGACTTCTCAACAGCTTTTACCCCCAAGCCATAAGACTCCTGAACAGCTAATCATGGCTACCCAGACTATTTGCACTGCCCCCCCACCCCATCCTTTTTACGCTGCTGCTACTCTGTTAATTATTTATGCATAGTCACTTTAACTCTACCCACATGTACATATTACTTCAACTATCTCAACTAGCCGGTGCCCCCGCACATTGACTCTGCACCGGTACCCCCCTGTATATATAGCCTCCCTACTGTTATTTTATTTTACTTCTGCTCTTTTTTTCTCAACACTTTTTTTGTTGTTGTTTTATTTTTACTTTTTTTGTTAAAATAAATGCACTGTTGGTTAAGGGCTGTAAGTAAGCATTTCACTGTAATGTCTGCACCTGTTGTATTCGGCGCATGTGACCAATAAAATGTGATTTGATTTGATTTGATAAATGACTACCGACCCGTAGCACTGACGTCTGTAGCCATGAAGTGCTTTGAAAGGCTGGTCATGGCTCACATCAACACCATTATCCCAGAAACCCTAGACCCACTCCAATTTGCATACCGCCCCAACAGATCCACAGATGATGCAATCTCTATTGCACTCCACACTGCCCTTTCCCACCTGGACAAGAGGAACACCTACGTGAGAATGCTATTCATTGACTACAGCTCAGCATTCAACACCATAGTGCCCTCAAAGCTCATCAATAAGCTAAGGATCCTGGGACTAAACACCTCCCTCTGCAACTGGATCCTGGACTTCCTGACGGGCCGCCCCCAGGTGGTAAGGGTAGGTAACAACACATCTGCCACACTGATCCTCAACACAGGGGCCCCTCAGGGGTGCGTGCTCAGTCCCCTCCTGAACTCCCTGTTCACCCATGACTGCATGGCTAGGCACGACTCCAACACCATCATTAAGTTTGCGGATGACACAACAGTGGTAGGCCTGATCACCGACAACGATGAGACAGCCTATAGGGAGGAGGTCAGAGACCTGGCCGTGTGGTGCCAGGATAACAACCTCTCCCTCAACGTGACCAGGACAAAGGAGATGATTGTGGACTACAGGAAAAAAGGACTGAGCACGCCCCCATTCTCATCGACGGGGCTGTAGTGGAACAGGTTGAGAGCTTCAAGTTCCTTGGTGTTCACATCACCAACGAACTATCATGGTCCAAACACACCAAGACAGTCGTGAAGAGGGCACGACAAAGCCTATTCCCCCTCAGGAGACTGAAAAGATTTGGCATGGATCATCGAGAGCACCATTGAGAGCATCCTGACTGGTTGCATCACCGCCTGGTATGGCAACTGGTTGGCCTCCGACCGCAAGGCACTACAGAGGGTAGTGCGTACGGCCCAGTATATCACTGGGGCCAAGCTTCCTGCCATCCAGGACCTCTATACCAGGCGGTGTCAGAGGAAGGCCCTCAAAAATGTAAAAGACTCCAGCCACCCTAGTCATAGACTGTTCTCTCTGCTACCGCATGGCAAGTGGTACCGGAGTGCCAAGTCTAGGTCCAAAATACTTCTCAACAGCTTCTACCCTCAAGCCATCAGACTCCTGAACAGCTAATCATGGCTACCCAGACTATTTGCACTGCCCCCCACCCCCACCCCATCTTTTTACACTGCTGCTACTCTGTTAATTATTTATGCATAGTCACTTTAACTCTACCCACATGTACATATTACTTCAACTACCTCAACTAGCCGGTGCCCCCGCACATTGACTCTGCACCGGTACCCCCCTGTATATATAGCCTCCCTACTGTTATTTTATTTTACTTTTTCGGCGCATGTGGCCAATACAATTTGATTTGATTTGATTTGATTTGATTGCAAGAGTTCAAAGACATTAAATACTCACTTCAATGCAGTGTTTTAGTACTCGAGTCCAGGACTCGGACTTGACTCAGACTTAAGTCACAATATTTATGACTCGTTACCCAACTCGGACTTGACCAGTGGCGAATCGGACTTGGACTCAACCAGTTGTAACTTTCTTTTCAGAAAATCACTCTCTTTTGCATAATTGAACATATCAGCTACAACAGCAAACGTTAGATAGCTATACTATCTATTTAGTGTGGCTTGCGAAAATAATGTACCACTTATTTCAGACTTTTTATTGTAGTTATTCTTTACAACGCTACTCCTCTTACACCGTTTAAGTGAGAAACGCCATTCAAACTTTAAAACGTGCAGACTGGTCCGCACCAGTGTGTTTCCATACAACTTTTTGATTACATTTATACTTTCTAAAGGTCCTGTCCAAATTCTCATGACTTCCAACATTATATTCACTGTAAACAATGCAACTTTTTACACAAATCAGCTACTTTGATTACTTTCCCAACAACTTAGACAAAACTTCCACATCAACTAGATTTTCTGTAATTTTTTATAAACAACTGAAATTTGGACCACTTTCCCAACACTTGTTTGACATATTGTCTACTTCTCTGCTATTCGAATCTGGTCAGCGCTAAGGGCTTGTCATGGCCTAAATTGTGACTTTTGACACAAACCAGCTACTTTGACCACTTTCCCAACAAGCTAAACAAAAACGTAGAGTTGAGTGTATGACATCTTGGACTACTTCTCTGCTATTCAAATCTGAAATCAGAACAGAAATATATTCTACTGATCAAATGATACAGCTGTTTTAGTAAACGCATCAACTACATTTTTTTCTGTCATTTCTTTTAAACAACTGCCGTTTTGACCCCTTTCACAACAAGCTAGACAACAACTTAAAGGGAATGAAATCTTAGTCTACTTCTCTGCTATTCAAATCTGAAATATATTCTAGCAATAAAACAATACAGCTGTTTTAGTAAGCACATCAACAAAATGTTATCTCAACTTTTACAAACAACAAGTGAACATAGCTAAATGACTAAAAAATGTAAAGAATGTAAAAAATATATTCTACCAATCAAATTATAGCAGTGGGGGAGCACATAAGACTGATTGTGCCATGCATCTCACCCCAACCCACTAAACTAACCCACTATAACAACCCCCACACTCACTAACCAAACTACAATAGTGACCCCACTACTTATAGCTAACCCTTGACCTATCTATCTAAAACATTCAGGATCACTACTGCAATGTACAGCTACTAGTACTTCTGGGCTACTTACTTCTACTTAGTCTCCCACTGAAGGCAACTATCAACTATTTATAAAACAGTCACTCCATCTACTACACCAGCCTCAATTGTTCAACACTAACACAATTCTAATCTTCTTCCACTAGATGAACCATCATATTTCTCTCACCAAATGATAGCCTACAACTTTTCTAATTCCTTATGAGTAAAAGTGTAGGAGTCTGAGTGTATCCAAAGTAATAAGGTTGATATAGTAGTCTATCAAAGTAATCAGACCAGATATTTTAATATATTTAACTTTGACTATATTTCATTGCTTCACTTAAGTAAAACGTTTTAAACTTCTTCAACTACCACAAAAATAATTTTAAAGAGCTGAAGCAAGTCACACAATTTTTCTTCATTGAAAATTACCATCTAGTTAGCCTTACAAATGTGCAACACTGTAATGAAGTGTTGCTTAAAAAGTTATTGGAGAGCAATACAAAGAACTCAAACTTGAACTCAGACTCGAACACTAGAGACTTGGGACCCGACTCTGACTGGAGGTTTAGTGACTTGACTACATCACTGCTTCAATGTATTTGGAACAGTCTTCATATGGTGTCTGCCACTTGGGGCTTGCAACATTTATTTCACTTCACTAATTTGTAGTTGCTGAATGCCTGGGACATTAGACCCTGGAATCTGGCTATTTACTGTACTTGCAAGATGGTGTACAAACCATCCAAGCTGACATGAAAATATTTATGTTTCGCTGGACTGGAGTGCTTACACACACAGAGGATCTGGTGCAGATAATTGGGGTGAAACACTTGATTATTAGTGAAAGAGCAACATGACATCACCATACCTTAGTCATGGCTCAGCCCCTGGGAAGACTGAGTGTACTTTCTGTGTATGCACCCATTGCACTGTCCGTGTGTCAGTTTGTTAATGTGAGCGAGTTTTAGTGTGTGTGTGTGACCCAGGTTTTTGTGTGTGTATTAACAAATCAGGTGATGGATGAATGTCTGTTTTGTTTTAATAAGGTAGATATGATTGTATGCCTGTATGTGAGTTTGTTTACTAAATGTTCTTGTGTGCGAATTTTCAGTGAATTTATGTAAATCACAAAGCTCATCTGCATTTCCTGCAGTGCTAGAATATTCTCTGCAACACAAGAGTGATCAAATGAATATCCTACATCTGTATGACAACCACTACAGTCACATTTTTGCTTAAGTAATCATAACACACAGCAAAATTCAGTAGATATAAAAATACTTAATTCTGTATGAGATGCATGTTCAAACAGAACCCGGAGATATGAGAGGACTAAGAAAGGAGGACTAAGCCTAACAGAAATTTAATAAGTGAGCATTATGTTGTCTAACAATCTTTCCTTATCTCATGTATGTTTGACCTACAGGCGCTGAACGGCTTCATCCTGGTGGTCACTAATGATGGGACCATTTTTTACTCCTCTCACACCATCCAGGATTACCTGGGCTTCCACCAGGTACCGTACAGATTGTCCCTCCTCCCTTTCCGTAGCCCAGTGAAGGTTATATCCCTTAAACATGACCAGGTTGTTCTGTGCCTCAGCTCATTCATAATGGACAAGCAGGCATCTGGTGAGGCAGCTTTATCGTCTTTGTGGTCTTGGCTGAATAATATCATTCATTTTACAGCTGGGTCACCCCAGTGCAGCATTGGCATGCATGTTTGCAAACGATAACGCATAATCCTCCATCGACACCTGGTCATCTCTGATCTAAGTTTTGATAATTAATTACATGCAATACGAACATCCAATGTTATCCTGTAGAACTGTAGAGGTTTTCCCTATAGAGACAGTTGCCCATAGATGCTTTGTCATGAAATAATTGGTCTTGCAAAATAGATTTTATCTCAACGAGACTAACCTGTATAAATCTCGTTAAATGAACATAATATTCATTGGCGTTGTGGTTGCGGTTTGGGGTTTAGGGGTTGGGGGTTTCGTGCGGTGTCTGCTGCGATTTGTCGGGGCCGTTGTCTGGGTTGTGGCCCCTGCCTGCTCAGTGTGTAGTCTGATTCTGCTCAGCGGGTCCACAGAGAGAAACTGGTAGAGACCAGTCTATTAATAGCATGGCCTTTAGTGGAAAGAAACCACCAGCCGTGGTAGTGGGAAGCAGCACTAGCCAGCACGACAGCTGAAGAGATGGATGGGAGTATGGAGGGGGATGGAGGGATAGTAAAGAGGCAGTCTACTGTACGAAATTCAGACCCTGGAGAAGTCCAGTACACACTGAGACACTGAGAATTCAACAGACTCTTGGAGATACAGTATATCCCAGACTCTTTCACTATAGCGAGGTTCCCATAACGTCACTCCTTCAGTTTAGCAGTATAGTGTCCGAAGTTCCCATAATGTAATTTGCATAAGGATGCCCTCAATTTAGATTTTGTTTGTGTCTGTATTGTGCATGCTTTCCATAATCTTTATTTTAACTGTCTTTATATTATGTATATTTCCAAAAACCTTTATTTTGTTTGTCTCTATATAATCTAACATAATCTTTACCTCCCCCCTCCTTCCTTCCCTTTCTCACTCCCACCTCCCTCTCTCCTTCCACAGACTGATGTTATGCACCAGAGTGTGTATGAGTTGGTTCATACTGAGGACCAGCAGGAGCTGAGGAGGAACCTCCACTGGGCCCTCAACCCACCTGACATCGTGGCCCCCGAGGCCCCACTGGGAGAGACCCCCTCAGGTTACCTCGTGCCTCAATGTTAGACCCTGAAACACCACCTCCATCAATGAAACAATGTTTAAGGATATTCAAACAGAAATTAATGCAGAACTTTTGGTATAATTTCCTATTGTCACGAACCGGCTCAAGTTCGTAACAAAAGGGAGACACGTGGAGACAAGGAATACCCAAAATATATATTTATTAGCTAAAGTAAACTAAATCAAATAACAATGGTGTGTGTAATCAGTAATCAGTAGTGTGAGTGTTTGCAGGCATAAATGTAATAATGCAAAGTGTTGAAAGGTGCCAAAGCAAACAACCAAAAAGGCCACAAAAATATCACAACCAAAGTCAAAGTATCTGCCTGGAGAGAGTCTCCTCAATGAATGTGGAAGAGGTCCATTTATGCTGGGACACACCCGGCCCAGGTGTTTCCCATGTAGCTGACGACCCTCCCAACTCCGCCCACCGGCATCCTAATAAGGAAACAAGAGCAAAGAGAGAATACGGCAGACAGAGTGGGAGGGTCGTCACACACCCCCCCCCCCCCCCCCCCCCCCCCCCCCCATAAGACCGGGGACCAACAAGGACCCCGGACCAACGTACCAGCCCCTGCGTCCCAAACCGACAATTTGTACATGTTCACCCCTCCACTTGCCCCACCCATCATCCTCCTCTCCAGACCTCAGCAACCTTTACACAGGAAGCAACCTTTAAGAGGAAAGAAAAACACAAGACTAGGAGGGGACAAACAGGAAAGATAGAACATGACAAAATCAAACAATGGTCGGTCACATCAATATTCATGAACAGGGCGCACGAGAGAGCGCATCAGTAATCACGTTATCAGTCCCCCGGATGTGCCGCACATCTAGATGGAAGGATTGTAAAAATAAAAACCATCTCATTATCCTCTGATTAGGACACCTCATGGACCTCAAAAATGTGAGAGGGTTATGGTCGGTGTAGACCACAATAGGTACTACACCCGACCCAACATACACTTCAGAGTGTTGTAGCGCCCATATAAGTGCTAATGCTTCTTTTTCAATGACCGAATAGTTCAACTGATAATGGTTAAACTTTTTGGAAAAGAAACAGGCCTCTCAACCCCAGCCACATCTGCTTGCAGCAAAACTGCACCCGCCCCCACATGACTAGCATCCACCTGCAAGGTAAATGACAAATCGAGGAGCAGCCTGTACCGGAGTTGAAGTAAGCAACCTCTTTGCATCTTCGAAAGCCTGTTGACAATGAGAAGACCATACGTACACAGCCTTAGCTTTCAGCAAATCTGTCAAGGGAGCGACCACAGTAGAGAAGTTCCTACAAAAACCACGATAATACCCAATCATTCCCAAGAAACGCATCAGTTCCTTTTTAGTAGTTGGTAGTGGAAAAGCATCAATAGCTACCACTTTAGCCCGAACAGGACGCACTTCACCCTGCCCAACCACCTTTCCAAGGTATGTAACAGTCGCCTGAGCAAACTCACATTTAGCCAAATTTATCGTGAGACGACCCGCAGCCAGACGTCCGAACAAGGCTTGAATACGGGACAGATGTTCCTCCCAAGTATCTGCATATATCACTACATCGTCCAGATAAACAGCGCACCCGGCCAGACCAGAGACAACCCTGTTCATAAGTCGCTGAAAAGTTGCAGGCGCATTACGCAGTCCGAAACTCATAACCGAATACGAGTACAGACCAAAAGGTGTAATAAAGGCAGAGATTTCACGTGCCCTACTCGTCAGTGGCACCTGCCAATAGCCCTTTAACAGGTCAAATTTGCTCACAAACTTAGCTGCGCCGACTTGATCAACGCAGTCCTCCATCCGAGGAAGAGGAAATGAATCCGGCTTAGTGACATCGTTTACCTTACGGTAGTCCGTACAAAATCTGTTTGTTCCATCCGATTTACTGACCAAGATACAGGGAGAAGCCCAACTGGAGAAAGAAGGCTCTGCTATTTTACTCTCCAGCATGTACCTGACCTCAGCATCCAGACAACGCAGTTTCTCTGAAGAAACTCTATAGAACCGTTGACGAATGGGGTCAGCATCTCCAATGTCAATATCATGTTCTATTAAGTTTGTTCATGCTCCATTTTAGCTTGTTCATGCTCCCGCTGTAACAGAAGCAGTTCTTTCTGCTGTTCAAAAAGAAGACTACTATGACTAACCGATGGAGCGGTCATTGTAACATATCAGGGAGACAACGTGTCCTCAGCAGAGGCTGCCCCAGTTGTAACATCCAGAATACCACTCTCCATCAAATTGGCCTTCAATATTAACCTAATATAATTTTTTAGACGTTTATCACTAATTTCAACCTTGTAGTGTTCAGCAACCTTCAACAGCTGTTCTTTCGTACATAATTCTAACAGTTCTTCTGATGGAAAGCGAATGAACTCATCTACATTAGACGCCATAATCAGGAAAAAAAAAATATATATATAGATCATAATAATCTTGCTCAACCCCTCTGCTGAGCACACCAGACACAAAAGAAATGACAATCACACAGAGCACCACAGAAGAGAGCTGGGATATGGAGCTTCCCCAAAACCTACAATAACTCAACCCTAGTCTTCGTGCAGATTCGCGGTGGGTAATTACGCACTGTAGCCCGCTGGCAAGGAATTAAACCCCCCAGCACGCTGGTAGATTTCCCCAAGCCACGGATGTGCCCCCGAGACAACTGCTCAGTCCACTGACACCACACAAAAATTTAACCATGCCCAACGTATCCCAAAACAAAACACGTCACTAAGCCTATCAGGGGAAAAAGCTATAGCTCCGGGTAGCAAATGTCACTACCCTACCCAATCTCCCACTGAGGTACACAGCCGATTGTACTCACCTCAGACCGATGTCCCAACAGCGAGTAGAGCAAGAGTTTCCAGGCTGGGCAGGGACTGGAAACTAACCAATGTACTCTCTCCAACGCAGTACAAAACCCAAAGGCAACCAATACTGGGCCTATCAAACTCAAACAAACTAACAAAATTTACAAAGAAAGACCCTACAGAATTGGACATTAACTCCACGTTCTCCCAAACACAACCAGTTCAAGATCCCGGACGAACCCCCACTTGTCACGAACCGGCTAAAGTTCATAACAAAAGGGAGACACGAGGAGACAAGGAATACCCAAAATAAATATTTATTAGCTAAAGTAAACTAAATCAAATAACAATGGTGTGTGTAATCAGTAATCAGTAGTGTAAGTGAGTGTTTGCAGGCATAAATGTAATAATGCAAAGTGTTGAAAGGTGCCAAAGCAAACAACCAAAAAGGCCACAAAAATATCACAACCAAAGTCAAAGTATCTGCCTGGAGAGAGTCTCCTCAATGAATGTGGAAGAGGTCCATTTATGCTGGGACACACCCGGCCCAGGTGTTTCCCATGTAGCTGACGACCCTCCCAACTCCGCCCACCGGCATCCTAATAAGGAAACAAGAGCAAAGAGAGAATACGGCAGACAGAGTGGGAGGGTCGTCACACTATGAATACCCTCTTCATAATGCATTACAAATGCCGTTATAACACCTTGTGAGCTATGTGTAATGCATTAAATAAGTATATAATAATTCATTATTATTATGCATTATATAAACATCTATAACTAATAAATGCTCATAAACATCTAAAACCTTAGAGAAAGGCTCAGGCCTCTGCACCGAACTACCTCTCCACTAGGGGTAGTGTTGTAAGGTTTTCCTTTCCCTGGTAGAGAGGAAGCTGTCACATGGCATGCTAAGACTACATTAGCCTCTGGGGCTAATTACATAAGTGTATTTTCAACAGAGCTAGGAGAAGAGGACCACTGAGGACAGGACACACAGTCGGGTCAATAATTACTCCAAAGAGAGGCCATACACAGAACAGAACAGAAGCAGCACAGTTAGCAGTTAGAATGTGCTGAGAGATATTGAATAAGGCTTTGTTTAAAATGTCATCATGACACACATCCCTCAGCAGACACCCTAGCCAGACACCTCACATCAGCTTTTCTTCCAATCCCAAACATTAATGTCAACACTCAGTCAACAATGTTGTTACTCATTTTTAGCTTTTTGTGTTGATGAATTCCTGTACGAACATAAAAATAAGAATTATTTAATGAGATTAAAAGCAGTTTAATCAGTGATTACCTCAACTGTTTGTATTACCATTTTAGAGAAGTGGCACAGATTTGTTCTGTTTCTACAGTATGACTGAACTGTATACTGTAATCTTGAGGATCATTTCCAAATATAGTGAAATAGGTGGTTAGATTATTTTGATGGTAAAACCTGATCTGAACATGTCATCTCTTCTGACCCACAGATGCGGAGCCGGACAGCAGCACCAGTGCCACTGTGACCTACAACCCTGAGCAGCTCCCCCCAGAGAACTCCTCCTTTCTGGAAAGAAACTTTGTGTGTCGCTTCCGCTGCCTCCTGGACAACTCCTCTGGCTTCTTGGTAGGTGTTATTGACACCCCAGCCCTCACCCCGACCGAACACCCCTCACCCCAACCGAATGCCTTCAATCCCCAAATAGTGTGTGTTTAACAGTATTTTAGGCTCACCCAGAGGCAACCTCACATTAATATAGTGTAATGTTAATATGTTGCAATACGATTTTGATGGATTAACATGGACATCAGATTCAATTAAACATCTTGTCGGATGGGCTTTGGACAGAGAATCAAACACATGGTCAATGGAAGACGAAAAGATGTCTAAAACAAATGTTTGCATTCTCCCACCCTGCCAGGCCCTGAGTCTGCAGGGCAGGCTGAAGTTCCTGCACGGTCAGAACCAGCGGCAGGATAACGGGGACAAGGTGCCCCCCCAGCTGGCCCTGTTTGCCATTGCTACGCCCCTCCAGCCCCCCTCCATCCTGGAGATCAGGACCAAGAACATGATCTTCAGAACCAAACACAAGCTGGACTTCACCCCCATGGCATGTGACGCAAAGTACGCTCTCGTTGTCTTACTCATTTTCATGCTGATTTTGTGGCAGTTGCAATCATTGAAATACATTTACATTTTAGTCATTTAGCAGACTCTTTTATCCAGAGCGATTTACAGTAATGAGTGCATACATTTTCGTACTGGTCCCCTGTGGGAATCGAACCCACAACCCTGGTGTTGGAAGTGTCATGCTCTACCAACTGAGCCACATGGGACCAAAATAATTGGCTAGTGTACAATAGTACTGAATAGACTGTAATTTGTTATATTCATAATGCTATTGTTATGTAGTACTGGTTATGATATGAAGTGAAATAATGTTTATTGACATTATCCCTTGTCGTTTTGCAGGGGGAAAATTGTGCTTGGGTATACTGAAGCTGAACTTCGGGTGCGAGGCTCCGGCTATCAGTTTATCCATGCAGCGGATATGTTGTACTGCGCTGAGAACCATGTCCGAAGTAAGCCTCACGTCTATTATGTCTACCTAACATCAGGTTACTTAGGGGTTCAAGCTTTCAAAATATACAAACATGGGAGTATTTATTTGGATTGGGTTGAATTGGTTCTGTCCTCAAACATCGTTGAGGCTGGGTCTGACCAGGTCAAAGATGGTGGTCACAGAGTTCGGACAGCTTTCCCAAGTAATCCCAGTAGATTACGGAGCAGATTGCGCAAAACCGCTGAGCCGATAGGATACGCCCACAAATCCACTACATGAGCAGAGTACCAGCAATGATCCATATACAGTGCCTTCAATAAGTATTCACACCCCTTGACCTTTTCCACATTTTGTTGTGTTACAAGGTGGGATAAAATGTATTTAATTGTCATTTTTTGTCAATGATCTACACAAAATTCTCTGTAATGTCAGTGGAAGAAAAAAAGTATAATTATTCAACCCCCTAAGACAATACATGTTAGAATCACCTTCTACAGCGATTAAAGCTGTGAGTCTTTCTGGGTAGGTCTCTAAGAGCTTTGCACACCTAGATAGTACAATATTTGCACATTATTCTTTTTAAAATTCTTCAAGCTCTGTCAAGTTGGTTATTTATCATTGCTAGACAGCCATTTTCAAGTCTTGCCATAGATTTCCAAGCCGACATATGTCAAACTATAACTTGGCCACTCAGGAACATTCAATGTCGTCTTGGTAAGCAACTCCAGTGTATATTTGGCCTTGTGTTTTGGGTTATTGTCCTGCTGAAAGGTGAATTTGTCTCCCTGTGTCTGTTGGAAAGCAGACTGAACCAGGTTTTCCTGTAGGATTTTGCCTGTGCTTTATTCTGTTTCTTTTTATCCTAAAAAACTCCCTAGTCCTTGTTGATGAAGCATACCCATAACACGACGCAGCCACCACCATGCTTGAAAATATGAAGAGTAGTAGTACAGTGATGTGTTGTGTAGGATTTGCCCCAAACATAACATTGTGTTTTCAGAACATAAAGTTAATTCCTTTGCCAATTTTTTGCAGTTTTACTTTAGTGCTTTATTGCAAACAGATGTATGTTTTGGAATATTTTTATTCTGTACAGTCTTCCTTCTTTTCACTCTGTCAATTAGGTTACTATTGTGGAGTAACTACAGTGTTGTTGATCAATTCTCAGTTTTCTCCTATCACAGCCATTAAACTCTGTAACTGTTTGAAAGTCACCATTGGCCTCATCGTGAAATCCCTAAGCAGTTTCCTTCCTCTCTGGCAACTAAGTTAGGAAGGGCACCTGTATCTTTGTAGTGACTGGGTGTATTGATACACCATCCAACGTGTAATTAATAACTTCACCATGCTCAAACGGATATTCAGTGTCTGCTTTTTTTTTTTACCCATCTTCCAATAGGTGCCCTTCCTTGCAAGGCATTGGAAAACCTCCCTGGTCTTGTGGTTGAATCTGTGTTTGAAATTCACTGCTCGACTGAGGGACCTTACAGACAATTGTATGTGTGGGGTACAGAGATGAGGTAGTCATTACAATTATTTTAAACACTATTATTGCACACAGAGTTAGTCCATGCAACTTATTAGGTGACTTGTTAAGCAAATCTTTACTCCTGAACTTATTTAGGTTTGCCATAACAAAGTGGTTGAATATTTATTGACTCAAGACATTTCAACTTTTCATTTTTAGGTAATTTGTAAACATTTAAAAAAAACGTCCACTTTGACAATATGGGGTATTGTGTGTAGGCCAGTGACACAACATCTCAATTTAATCCATTTTAAAATCAAGCTGTAACACAACAAAATGTGGAAAAGGTCAAGGGGCGTGAATACTTTCTGAAGGCACTGTAGCTATACCAACACAGCCCCACAATTAGGCAGAACTATTACAGGGACTATATAGCTTATCTAGCTACCTACTCTGGCTTCACTTTGGAATTTTTCCTAGATTCGCTTCTTAAAAAGATAATCTACCAACCACTGCTCCTTGCTAGAGCACAATCTCAAGGCAATGATGAGGCAACAATAGCTAGCTAGATATGTATTTAGAATAATTAAGTTGAACAGAAGTAGAACTCTACCCATTGTCACTCCTGCGGAGTACTGTAGCTTTAACAAAATGTAATACTTACCATGTGTAAGCCTCCCTCTCACTCTAAATGACTGTGTCCTGTGGATCCAGTGATGAAGACAGGAGAGAGCGGTCTGACCGTGTTCAGGCTCCTCACCAAGGACAACTGCTGGAAGTGGGTCCAGGCCAATGCCAGGCTGGTCTACAAGAACGGCAAACCAGACTACATCATCGCCACGCAGAGGCCTCTGGTGTACGTGAACTCACCTGGGCCCTGTCACATCCAGCCCCAAATACACACACTGTCTGGGAACAGTCGTTTTTCCTAAGGTCATATGGCCAGGAAATACTCACGGTCCTAAAAGCTATAGCGCCACATTTATGACATAGTTATGTTTTTCTGATGTGACTAGAACACCAGACAACACAGATGGAGGAAGGGATTATCGTGTGCTTATGATCTCAGTGAGACTATTTTCACATCAGTTTCCATGCATGACACAATAATGTGGCAATACAGTAACACGCAGTTGTAACAGTGGTGAATTCCGACCATGACAATCTCTCAGGTGTTGTTTGTTTTCTGTCCATCTAGGGAGGAGGAAGGAGGCGAGCACCTACGTAAACGTTCCATGCACCTCCCCTTCACCTTCGCGACGGGAGAGGCCCTGCTCTACCAGTCCAACCATCCAATTGTACGCTTCAACAACGGTGCCCAGGGCTCTGAGAATAACGGCAGCAAGTCCAAGAAGGGACGGACTGACAGGGTCTCCAGGGATGGCCTGGACCCAGGCTCCCTCTTGGGGGCGCTGATGAGTCAGGATCAGTCTGTGTACATCTGCCAGCCGGCCCTGGAGTCCAAGCTGTCCTTCCACAGCAGTCTGTTTGGGGACCGAGTCGGCTTCTCTGACTCCGACCCCACTGCCCTGCTCCAGGGCTGGGATGAGTCATCCAATGGAGTAGTGGGTCCGGGTCTTCCAGAGCCGGCGTCGAGCTTCGACCCACTGCTGGCGACCCTAGACTCCCTGTCCCTGGGGAGTCAGGGGGGTGTAGTGGACGGGGAAGGGGACGGAGGCAACGGGGAGGCCTGTTCCAACGGGGAGCTTTTTGGGGCTCTGGAGAGCCTGGGGCTGAGTGCCGAGGACCTGGAGCTGCTGCTGCTGGACGAGAGGATGATCCAGGTGGAGATGGACCCTGAGCGGGTTCCTACCCTGGATGACCTGCTGACCAACGACGAAATCCTCTCCTATATCCACGACTCCCTGGAGGCAAAGACAGACACGGCAGAGGACAGGGGCCAGGTGCCCTCCACTATCCCAGCTACAACTGCCCCAATAACGACGACGACAACAACAAAAGCACCTGTTGAAAGTAATCCCACTTCTGCCACCAATGTGCTCTCTCAATACCTTCACCATAAGTCTCCCCTGGTGGGGCAGGCACCCATAGTTCAGCTCTCCCAGCAGATGCAGCAGCACCTCAGCATGCGGCCAGGGATGGTGGTCCAAGACTGGGCCCAGCATAACAACCACATGCCCCACCCCGTGGTGCATGGACTACAGGGGCAGAGTCAGCCCATACACAATGGACAATGGACATCTCAGCACATTCTAGCCAGTACAGGGGTCCCAGTTGACCACTGTCACACCCCCCAGTCTCTGTTAAATGGAAAGACGTCAGAGCCGGATGGGGATCTTCACCGGCGGCAAGCCAACCAACACTACCTCCGGCAGCAGCATCAACAGCAGGCCATGGTCCAGAGCCAGCTCCCTCTGTGCCATGCCAAACAGCCAGACGCCAATCTCAATGGAGTGTATGGCATTCCAAACACACACACAGAGCATCACCCAGCTGGTAAACAGCAGTGGCAGGACTACAGCTACAGCCACCCTGGGGAAACCACCCTGAACAGCAACCCCTGCCTCAGCAATGGCCACATACCCCCCCTCACACACACCACCGTAGACGCTTGTATGGATTTCACTATGGCTGATAATCCTGCCGTGGATTATACCATCAACGAATGCTCGTATGGGGGGAACGGGCAGGACCAGAGGACAGAGGCTGCCGTTTCATCCTTCCAGAGGATGAACCACAAGCAACAGCAGCAGCAGGAGCAGCTGCCCCCTCCCTTGACCCAGGTGCTGTCCAGCCTCTCGCAGTGCCCTCCGCCAAATGCTACCCTGGAGCAGATCCTGGGGGTTGGACAGTCCTACAGACAGCTGCCCTCACTGGAGGCCTACGGCATGATGACCTCTGACATCCCTCACGACCCCAACCACAGTAAGGTGAGACCAGTGATTATATGTTCATATAGTCTTCTAATTATATTCCTTTGGGTGAGAGTTGATGTTAGGGATATAAATTTGTTAAGTTTAGGGTTAAGGTTAGGACTGAGGTTAAGGTAAGGGTTAAGGTTAGGGTTATGGGTCTGCTAGTTGAATATAAACTGCCTAAGAACTAGATGATTTGCATAAGGGTTCATCAGTTTTTACACCTCTTCCCCAACTTTCATATTGATTTGAAGACCAGTGCATGATCCAACAGAGGCTTTAGCTGGGACAATGGTCCCTAACAGAGGGCCTCAGAGGCCATGAAAGCAGGAGAGTGGGAGCCAAAGTTCTGAATTATCCCCCTAGTTGCTTTGCTTTGTTTGTTTTGTCTTCAGTGAATATAATGGATAGTTTATTGTTGAATAATCATGATCTTATTGTTGACAGGAGTGAGGAGGAGTGAAAGTAGGAATGTGTCAAGGAACAGTTACCACCACCCATTTTGTGGCACGTGTTATGTGTGTATGTTCAGGGTAAACAGTATGAATCTAAGATAAAAGGCCTTCTGGCCAGTCTGATTTGTTTTCCTTTTTTCTCCTGACCTACGAATTTGCTCTGCTACTGTACCATTACCTAATGAAGACACACAGAGGCTCAGGCAAAGAGGGGGAGGAAGAGAGGAAGGAGGGGGTGGGGTGGGGATAGAGGGCAGTGGCAGGCTTTCAGTGACGCCTGTAGAAAAATCCAGTCAGCATTTTCAATTAAAAGGGGATTGTCCCATTGTTTCCCTCTGATGGAAAGAGAGTGGATACATTGGGAGCAGTCATAACAGGGCCTATTGACTCTAGTTGGCATAGTACATCCGCCAGTGCAACAACATGAAAGAGACATACATACTGTAGGTTATCCTAAGCTGCACTCTCTAATGCCCTTCTGACCCCCTGGAACTGCAATTCAGACCAGACATTGAATTAATGGAGACTTTTTAAAGGGAACTGACAAGTACTTGATCCCAGATTTGAGGCAAAGGAGTCGGAAGGGACAGTGATTATCCATAGTTCACACCAGGACAGCAGGTGCAATTCATGGCCGCAACGTGTTTAGATAAATCATTATGATCATGATTCATTCAAGAATAACTTAAAGAATGAATACTGCGAATCACAAACTGGGTAAGCTTAGGTAAAAATTATTTTTTAGATTGATGATTTTTGATGGTTTGATATTGAGAATGTATCTTTCAACAACTCTTGATTAAATTGCCAATACTTTTGACAATGCAGTCCTAGATATGTAATGTGTTAATCTGCTGATGGTAATCAACCATCGACGGTCATATACCATTCACAAGCTGAAATGCAGTTTCCCGTCGTTGTTTCCCTGTCTTCTTCCTCTTTTCTTAGATGGAAAATGGCTGCATTCTTAACGGGACCTACTCAGGAGGCTGTGTTCTGCCCAATGGGAATGGTGTGGTGTCCTCTAACGGCCTGCTCCCCTGCCCAGACACTCTATCCAGCCTCCCTGATGCCTAGGCCTCAGGCTTTTACCTCTGACTGGGGACCATTAGGAGACACTGACTGACTGACTGAAGGAGGGTCACAAGCACCCATCCTACCATTGGACCAGCCTTGTACTGTACAACTAGTTGATAACATGGATCAAAAGCAAGACTCAGGCCTAAATGTTTTCGGTACTTTTGTTTTGTTGGGTTTGATGTTTTATAATAACGTAATTATCATTTGAGTTCTTTGTTTACAATATGCTGTCAGAGCGCTAAAGTTGAGTTTTATGAATTTTTTTAAATAACACAGAGAAGTAAATAAGAGTCTTTTAACTGTTGTTTCTGTGTTTTTCATGTAAAAAATGATTATCTTTTTCATCCCGTTTGAAGTACAGCATGGTCATTGGTAGTCATGGAGACACTACCTACCCTAGCATGTATAGACGCTAATGGCACCATCATCTTTATGATTTGTGACACATGACATCATCATCAGTGTTACGAGTTGTCATACAATAGGAATGTAACCTTCAAATGCAAAGGTCAATGCTCATGAGTTTACTCTATTGGGTAATGTAATGAATTGTCTTAGAAAATGAGATAAGTGATGTCAAGTAAAAAAGAAAAAAAAAGGTTTAGAATATCTGATATTTAACGTTTTAATATTTAAGGTGGATGTTACTGATGTAAGTTGGAAAATCTGTAACAATAATTGTCTTTTTGTTTAAAAAAAAAGCGGTATTATATTTCAGGTGATGGGTTGATGTCCTCACAGGCACATACACTTCTATACAATTGTCATAATAATATTTATTTCACTTGAATTATCCTTTTGATGTTGTCATTGACATCTTGTACCTCTGGGTGAGTGTTTGTCCAATACTAAGGTAAACTGTGACTGAACTAGCAGAAGTATTTATTTATTTTACAACAATTCCGTTTTCTTCATCATTTGTCATTCATGTCCTCTAACATACAGTACATTAAAGGATAACATCTTGGTGAGAGTGGAAGTATTTTGTCAGAATCTAGAGGTTGCCAGCAACTATTCCGGTCTTAAGATGATGATCTAATGACAGTTCACTGACAGATTTGCAAACACTGAAAACCAAACGTGAGTATTATAAAGGTCTCTTCTGGAAGGATACTATTTTGAATGTTTTATGTAAATAGTAAATGATACGGAAATAATGCTAAATGGAATTATGTCATCATGGAGATGCTGAAAAGAGATTTCCTTGTAGTTGTTACAATAATTATTGTCATTATTATTGTTATTATTACTATTATTGTTATTATTATGAGTTTTAAGTTGAAATGTGATACAAGCGGTTACATGTTTTCAGAATCAACTTGGTTTCTTTCCCCTTTCTTTTTTAAATATAAAAATGTTTGATATATTTAATATGATTGATGTGACCTATTAACAATGTGATGAAAATAATTGTACATAAAACAAACAATGGTTTTGAGAAATACAGGTATGTAATTAGGTTCTGTGTCATTTCACTTGTTTTAAGCACTATTTTTAAAACACACTGCTGCTTGAACTCTTGTGTTGATTCAATTTTGATTGTACATATACTGCACTTTCTTTCATGTCACAAAATGGTGCCATACTACTGAAACTCAAATAATTTAACGTTTTGAGAACTTTAATTTCAGTCTTTTACGTAGTCACATTGAATTTACTTTATTAACATGCTAACAGGAGCATGTTACAACGATAGAAAATGGATACGTTTTTACCCATGTCCTTTGACTGCTTGTTTGAAATGTATTATTTTGGTCCTTTGAAATAAAGGATTTCTGCAATCACATTGAAACTTTGATAATATTAATATTTCTCAAAGTTTTGCTTTAGACATCACCGACAGAGTGAAAAAAGCAGACCACGGTATTTGAGCTTGATGCTTTCTGTTGTATGTTTGTTTTATCTTTCTGTGCACAGTAGCCTCTATAGCCCGTGGCTTGGCCAGGGAATTTGAAAAGAGAAGAGATACATTTGGGTTAGCTGAGGAGGCTCCTGTCATTGCTGTTTCAGCCTTAATAGCAGAGTGACCCAGACTGAGCAGCCTCGTCTCAGCCCACAGAGATAACCGTAATGCCTTGTGACCAGCGGGCTGCCAGAGGGGAACACAGGCCGTGTGGGTTGAGAGAGGAAAAGGGGTAGAGGGAGAGGAGGAGAAGAGGGGGAGGAGGAGCCATCACAATATTGTGATGGTTCTTACACCATGGTTACACTTCAGCAGGCTGTGTCTCCATCATACTCCTTCCCCCAGGTTAGTGGCTAAGCAACAGAGACCACATAGGACTTATGTCCTAACCTTTCATAATTCATAAGAAACAGCTTTTCTACACAAAATATACAATGTGTACATTACAATATACAGCTATGGGCGGAAGCCACCTCTCTGTCACTTTCACCACGTAAAATATTAATATTTCACTCTCACTCGCTCTTAGGCTTAAGCTAATCATCGAACAGCAAACTTAAGGGACTCTTCCAAAAATGTTTAATAGTATTGGATGGTGTTCCCCATAGCAAAATGCTGACATCACCACTGTGCTATTGCAACTGCATAGTGCATAGCCTACAGATAATGCAAGGGAAAGTGACAAGGAACTGTCCCATAGTAAGAGCAGAGGGGTGCAGTGTCGGCTATGCATAACTATATTCCATGCATCCTGTGGCTTTCTGACATATGGCCAAGGGAAACTTCCTCAATTTGTCTTATTTTTCATTTGAAAGGGGATATGTTTCTGGTCTTTTAGGCATATGTCAACGAGAGGCGGAGTGGACGTCACTTTGAATCTGATGATGACTAGCGGAGGGGAGCAGGGTCTTTCTGCTCTCGACCTATAAGATATGAAACATTTAGACATGGCCCATCTCATCCTATTTTGAAATAACAAGGCAAAAAGCAACCAACATGACCAAGTGTGCCCAAGGGACATTGTTATGGATATAATGCTCCATTTAGAGATGTGATCTTTGTCAGGCTCGGCTGGCTAAAGGGAAGCCAGATATATTGAGATAATGACCACCCAATTAGCTGGCTGTCCTGCAGACAGAGGGCCTGGGATGAGTGAATCATCACCCAAATACATCCTGTTCTGTTCTGTTCCCACTCACAACTGGGCTGGAGAGTGTCATTGTGGGATGTTTATTGGCCATTGATTCCCGGCAGGAAAAAAACTGGGCCCTATGTAGCTGGAGCATATGTCACAGTATAGTCTGTAGCCGTACTACGCTACCTAGTGTTTAAAAGAGGGCTAGGACCTCTGTATAAAGGAAGACTAAGACCAATGTAATGGAAGACTAAAGGCACCCAGATTCAATCTCTCCAATTCACCAGTTGACACAGACCACACAGAGTTGCCAAATAGTCAGAGTTGATTGCTCTTCAGGTGAGGGTGGTTGAGGAGAGTGGGAAATAAACTCAGCAAAAAAAGAAACGTCCTCTCACTGTCAACTGCGTTTATTTTCAGCAAACTTAACATGTGTAAATATTTGTATGAACATAACAAGATTCAACAACTGAGACATAAACTGAACAAGTTCCACAGACATGTGACTAGCATAAATTGAATAATGTGTCCCTGAACAAAGGGGGGGGGGGGGGGTCAAAATCAAAAGTAACGGTCAGTATCTGGTGTGGCTACCAGCTGCATTAAGTACTGCAGTGCATCTCCTCGTCATGGACTGCACCAGATTTGCCAGTTCTTGCTGTGAGATGTTACCCCACTCTTCCACCAAGGCACCTGCAAGTTCCCAGACATTTCTGGGGGGAATGGCCCTAGCCCTCACCCTCCGATCCAACAGATCCCAGACGTGCTCAATGGGATTGAGATCCGGACTCTTCGCTGGCCATGGCAGAACACTGACATTCCTGTCTTGCAGGAAATCACGCACAGAACTAGCAGTATGGCTGGTGGCATTGTCATGCTGGAGGGTCATGTCAGGATGAGCCTGCAGGAAGGGTACCACATGAGGAAGGAGGATGTCTTCCCTGTAACGCACAGCGTTGAGATTGCCTGCAATGACAACAAGCTCGGTCCGATGATGCTGTGACACACCGCCCCAGACCACGACAGACCCTCCACCTCCAAATCGATCCCGCTCCAGCGTACAGGCCTCGGTGTAATGCTCATTCCTTCGACGTTAAACGCGAATCCGACCATCACCCCTGGTGAGACAAAACCGTGACTCGTCAGTGAAGAGCACTTTTTGCCAGTCCTGTCTGGTCCAGCAATGGTGGGTTTGTGCCAATAGGCGACGTTGTTGCCGGTGATGTCTGGTGAGGACCTGCCTTACAACAGGCCTACAAGCCCTCAGTCCAGCCTCTCTCAGCCTATTGCGGACAGTCTGAGCACTGATGGAGGGATTGTGCGTTCCTGGTATAACTCGGGCAGTTGTTGTTGCCATCCTGTCCCTGTCCCGCAGGTGTGATGTTCAGATGTACCGATCCTGTGCAGGTGTTGTTACAAGGGGTCTACAACTGCGAGGACGATCAGCTGTCCATCCTGTCTCCCTGTAACGCTGTCTTAGGCGTCTCACAGTACGAACATTGCAATTTATTGCCATGGCCACATCTGCAGTCCTCATGCCTCCTTGCAGCATGCCTAAGGCACATTCACGCAGATGAGCAGGGACCCTGGGCATCTTTCTTTTGGTGTTTTTCAGAGTCAGTAGAAAGGCCTCTTTAGTGTCCTAAGTTTTCATAACTGTGACCTTAATTGCCTACCATCTGTAAGCTGTTAGTGTCTTAACGACCGTTCCACAGGTGCATGTGTAGTGTCGAGAACGATGCTGAGATGCTGTGATGACAAGAAATCCGCTGACACTGTCCTCGATTATAATTATTTATTACATTGAAGATTTCAGCGCCAATTTACAGACTTCTGCAGACATCTGGAGAACAACCGTCCCAATCTCTTAATATGTTGTTCTCTCAGTCCTTTGTCCCAACCAAGGTATATATATCCTATGTAACCTGATATGGGTGTTTTCCCCCACAGACCAATCCC